CATTATCATTTTCATCATTACTATTACTATCATCACCCTCATCACCAGAACCACAGCTATCATTAGTCTTCATCATCATCTTCACATCTTCATCATCTCCATCATCATCATTATTACCAATACCATTATCATCACCACCACCACCATCATCATCATCACCATCATCATCACCATCACCATCACCATCATCACCATCAACATAATTCATCATCAAGTATACTGTCATTTTATAAAGGTAGCTAAAGAAAACGGGAAGGCAGCGTATGTGAATGCGGTTTCAGGCGAAAGAAAACGGAGATAAGGGAAATTGGATAAAGATAAGGTTAAGCAAGGGAGAGGGGGAGGGGGGGAGAGGGAAGGGGGATCTTCATGGTAGGTAGTGATAACAAGAGAATTTAAATGAAATGAGAGAGAGAGGGAGGGAGACAGGGAGGGAGACAGGGAGAGAGAAAGAAAGAACAAATATACGAAACAAAGAAAGAAAGAAAAATGGAGGAAAAGAATATGAAGAAGAGGGTAAGAGAGGAACGAAAAAAGACACACACACACACACACACACACACACACACACACACACACACACACACACACACGCACGCACGCACACACACACGCACACACACACACACACACACACACACACACACACACACACACACACACACACACACACACACACACACACACACACATACTTACCCTCACCCTCACCCATGCGCGCATACATGCATATGTAACGACGCAAAGAAAGGATAAAAAATGAGTAAATAAAAGAGATAATTAAAAGCCGAAAATCCCCCCCCCCCCCCCCCCCCCCCCCCGCGACTTCCACAAGCGGCGCGAGAGTCGAGCTGTTCGAGAGACCTGCAACTGTTGCATAATTGAAACCCGAGCAGTGTGTGGGGGGAGGAGTGTGGGGGGGAGGTGGGGGAGCGTGTGGGGGAGGAGTATGTGGAGGAGCGTGTGTGGGGGGGAGGGGAGGGGAGGGGAGGGGAGGAGGACGTCATCTATACAGCTATTCGCTCACTAGCGTTCTCCCTTTTCGCTTCCCCTCACTCGTTCACCTTTCTCGCGTTTCCCCCTCTCTTCCTTCTTCTCTACCTTCCTCTCCTCCCACTCTGCCGTTCTGTCTTTTCACCTCCTCTCTCTATCCTCCTTTTCTTTCTCTCTCTCTTTCTTCTCTGAACTGTTTTTTTTTCTCTCTCCTATTTCATTTTATCACCAATTCGTTATTCCGTGTTTAACCAAATCTCTCCATCCTCCATTTCATTCTCTCTCTCTTTCTTCTCCTTTTCCCTCTCCCAGATTTCCTTTCCTATTTTTTCTTCCTTCATCCTTTTTCGATCTTCTGTTTTTTTCTCTCTCTCCTATTTCATTTTATCTCTAATTCATTATTCCGTGATTGACCAAATCTCGCTCGCCTCTCTGCCGCCGAGGTTCGTCTTTCGCACTGTCACGTCCAAGCAGGTTCATGTCACGTCATTGTCATGTCAATCGGGTTGGTGGTGGCGTTCTCTCGGCCTTGGGAGCACGTTCACGCTCGTTCTCACGCACAGGTGCCTGTCAGGTGTCACGTTCGTTAGTGCTTACGTTCCTTTTTTTTTTTTTTTTTGGGGGGGGGGGGGTGGAGGTGGTGGAGGCGTAGGCACGTTTTGGCGGATGGCGTTTCGTTCGGATTTCGCGCTCTTTATTTTCTTCACGTTCTTGGTAATGTTGAGGTTTACGTTCATATTCTGTCTCTTATTCGTTCGCGAGCTTGCGTCACGTTTACTTGATATGAATTCACACTCATAATGCCACTGGAAGTTGATTGTCAGCTAAACCTTTACGTTCACGCTCCTGTTCACGCTTATGTTCACGTTCTCCTTCTCTCCCTTCTTCTCTATCTTCTCCTTACCCCTTGCTTCTTCCTCTCCTCCCACCCTCTCTCCATCCTCCTTTTCCTTCTCTCCCTCTCTTTCTTCTCCTCGTTCACCTTTCTTGCGTTTCCCCCCTCTCTCCCTTCTTCTCTATCTTCTCCTTATCCCTTTCCTCTTCCTCTCCTCCTACTCTGCCGTTCACGTTCTCGTTCGTTCTCTCGTTCACCCTCAGGATTGCTCTCTCACGTTCACCTTGCCGCACCTTACCGAACGTTCGCCGTCGCTCGCTCGCTCGCACGCGGCGGCAGCGCCCTTGAGATCGTTCAATAAATTGGCGCGGGGAACTCGGGCCGATTAAGAGCGAGATTAGCGAGGTTATCAGACGTGGTGTGGCAATGATCGGGGGGGGGGGGGGGAAGGGGGAGGAGGAAGGGGGAGGAGAAGGAGGAAGGGGGAGGAGAAGGAGGAAAGGGGAGGAGAAGGAGGAAAGGGGAGGAGGAGGAGGAAAGGGGAGGAGGAGGAGGAGGAGGAGGAAGAGGAAGGGGGAGGAGGAGGAGGAAGGGGGAGGAGGAGGAGGAGGAGGAAGGAGGAGGAGGAGGAAGGGGGAGGATGAGGAGGGGGAGGGGGGCGAAGAGGGGTGAGTAAGGAGGGAGGGAAGAGGGAAAGAGAGAGAAAGAGAAAGAAAGAAGAAAGAAAGGAAGAGAAAGAAAAAATGTGGAGAGGCGAGGAGACGACGAAGGACAGGAATAGCAAGCCGGAGACAAAGAGGGGCGAAGGTAAAATGGTAAAGAGGGAGAGGGGAGAGAAGAGGGCTTGGGGGGGGGGGGAGAATTTTTTTGCATCTAACTTCTTATAACGTTTTTACCAGCATTTTTTCCTTCTTTTTTTTCCATTTCTTGTAAATATATTGGTTATTAATAGCCTTCGAAAATATGTCAGTGGCGGTCGTGTGGGAGAAAAAGAGAGGTTGAGGGAGGGAGAAAGGGAGACGGAGGGAGAAAGGGAGAGGGAGAGGGAAGGAGAAAGGGAGGCTGGGAGGGAGGGGGAGAGGGAAGGAGAAAGGGAGGCTGGGAGGGAGGGGGAGAGGGAAGGAGAAAGGGAGGCTGGGAGGGAGGGGGAGAGGGAAGGAGAAAGGGAGGCTGGGAGAGAGGGGGAGAGGGAGAGGGAAGGAGAAGGGAGAGGGAGAGGAAAGAGAAAGGGAGGGGGAGAGGAAAGGAGAAAGGGAGATGGAGAGGAAAGGAAAAAGGGAGACTGGGATGGGGAAGGACGGGGAGAAGGGAGATTGAGAAAGGGATAAAGAGAAAGGGAGGGAGAAGGGAAGTAAAGGTAGGCTGTGAGGGTGAATGGATGTGTTGATGGGAAGGAGGGAGGGGGGAGGAGGGGGTGTAAGAGTGTGGAAAAAAAGGCAAATAGGGGAAAAGGAAGAGGTAATGAGGGCGGGTTAATAGACGGCCTGTCTGCCTGACTATCCGTCTGTCTATCTGTCTGTCTCCCCTGGCATGAGGCAAGCAGCGAAGCACGTGGCGGGGAAGCGAAGGAGACGAAACAAAATCAAACAAACAAACAAGGCAAAGAGGGAGAGATTCGCGGAGGACTGCAGACAGGGAGAAGGGTGTGAAGGGGAACAGGAGAAGAGAAGGGCATTAGTGGAGGAGGAGGAAGGGGGAGGGGGGGGAGGGAAGGGGTTCGGAACATGTGATAGACATGTGATAGATGCACATAAGGGAACGTCCTCTCGCCGACTGTGATGAGAACGGCGTTGCTTTTGTGGCTCGGCGTTCATGGCAAGACAGGACTGCAGGGAACGTGTTTTGTTGTTGTTGTCGTCGTCGTCCGGGGTCGGGTGTTGTTGTTTGTTTCTTTGTTTCGTTTGATTGTTCGTTTGGCTTTTGAAGTTTGCGTGGTTATTGGGTTGTTTATTTGTTTATCTATTTATTTAGTTATAGTATTTTATATCAGTTTATTTATTGATTTACTTGTTTATTAATTAATTTATTTGTTTATTTATTTGTTTATTTATTTATTTATTTATTTATTTATTTATTTATTTGGCATATTTAAAGGGCATTGGTAAAATCGGTTAGAGATATATTAGCAAAATTACAGGATGGATGGGATGTCAAAGGGCGATGCATAGGCGAATGTAGGGGAAGAAAAAAATGGTAATAATGATAAAAAAGACGAAAATGATAGGAATAAAAACAGGTATTAATTATGATAATGGTAATATTAATAATGATGATCATAGTAATATTAATAATGAGGATTATGGTAATATAAATGATGATTATGGTAATATTAATGATGCTAGTGATGATAACAGTAATAATAATGGAAATGTGATAAAAGTGATGTCAATAACTAATAAACAAAAACAGAAAATGACAAAGGAATTCGGAAATTGCGTTCGTGCCTGAAGATGCGTTGTCCAGTTGCAAGGTAAGATGGGGCGTGGGAATATAAGGGGGAGGGGGGGGAGGGGAGGGGGGAAGGGGGGGGGACGGTAATGTGCAGCGGCGGTAGCAGTAGCGGGGCGGTGGCGGCGCGGTACCGGTGAGTGCGGTCGGACGAGTGCGCTGCGGCGAGTGAATAACGAGTCGTGAGTGAGAGTCGTGGGAGCCTGCCAGGGAGCGAATGAGCCGGGGGGGAGGGGGGAGAGGGGAGTGTGGGAGTAGGGAGGAAGGGGAAGGGTGAGGAAGGGACGGGAGGGGAGGGAGGGTAGAGGGGGGAGAGGAAAGGGGGATGAGGGAAGGGTTGAGGGGTGAGAGGGGAGGGAGGGTAGAGGGGGGAGAGGAGGACGGGGGGGAGGGAGGGTGTTAGGCGGTGTTGTCATCCTCGAACGTTGAAGTTAGTTGCCTCTCGAGTGCCGCTCAGACACCTTCGTTCGTTCGTTCCTCTCTTCTCGCGTTCCCTCTGGAGTTCTCGTTCTCGTTCTCGCGTCCTCGGGGTTGCAGCGGTGATCCTGCTCTTGTGTCGTGTTGCACGGTCTCGTTGGAGCTCGTCTGGGTGTCACGTGGTGAGAGAGAGACAGATAGACAGAGATAAGCAGGCAGACAGACAGACAGACTTACAGAGACAGGCAGACAGACAGACTTACAGACAGGCAGACAGACAGACAGACAGACAGACAGACTTCCCGAGACAGCGAGAGCGAGAGAGCGCAACCCGCACTCGACGCAGCTGGCATAAGGAACTCCACTTGGCCCAGCTGTCTGAGGGAGTGACAGCCACCGCCGCCGCCGCCACCACCAATAAGCCGAGGCCCCACCACTGTATGTCACGCGCTCGTAGGGGGAGGAACGCAGTGTCGCCGCGAGAGGGGGAGGAAAGCCCGGCCGTTTCCCCAGCTTTTCCGGGTCGTGTTGCGTCGCCGAGGGGGAGTGGAAGGTCGTCCTCGAGTGCTGGAGTGTGAGCTAGAGTAGTGTTGTTCTACAGCGTCGAGGAGGATGCGTTGTGATCGAAGTGTTGTCGTGTGAAGTGCTGTGGAAGTGAGGTGTTCTTTATCAGTGTGTTTTTATGCTGTTATCCGGCCTGTGATTGACGCCTGGCTGGCCGGCAGGTGATAGCGAGAAACGCCATCAGTGATACGTGTTGTGCCCCTCGAGTCGCGCCCGTGGTTGTCGTGTCGTGGCTGGCAGAGGGCGGAGCGTGCAGTGAGCGGGCGTGTGCGTGTGTGTGTTAGGCATAGCAAGTCACCCACAGCGGAAACGAGTGATCAGGGCCCGTGATGGGCGGCCGCGCTCGCCATGTGTAGCGGGGAGGCGAGGCTATCACGCCAGAGATGCGGGCGGGTCTGAGGATGGGTGTGGATGTGGATTTGGGGGTCGGCCGCGTGTAACGGAGTGGCGGTGTGGGCGAGCCATGCCCACGGTCGCGGACGCTGTGACACGCGTCCTCTGCAAGTGCACGGTTCATTTTCATCCAGTATGACATGGGCGCCTGTGTGGGCACCCGCAGCAAGCAGGCAGGTGGGTCGCGAGCGCCGCCAGGCCTCGTCGTTCGTGCGCTGCGCCGCCAGCGCCTGTAGAATAAGAGTAGTTGCCCTCGCGGGTCTGGAGTGCCTTTAGACTTGGTGCTTTTAAACTAAGTGCTCACGTAATCCATGTCTCGTAGCTTTATGGAGTACTAAACTTAACACGCTCTCTCTCTCTCTTGCAGAGGCTCTCCTAGCGGCGCGGCCGCTGCCGGACCTGCCTGACGTGGTGAGCGGGAGCGGGGGTGGCACCCTAGATCCCATGGGCGGGCCAGGCCCCCCGGAGTCTCAGCACGTGGGCGCCACCTTTGTCAGCACTATCCAGTCCGCGCTCCCCGCCCATGTCGCGCAAAGCCCGCTGCCCGTCTCCGTCTCCGCCGCCGCCGCCGCCGTCGCCGCCGCCCAGGTCACCTCCGCGACGCCACTTGGCGACGCGAACACCACCAACGCCGCGGCGACCAAGTGGCACTCGCGCGAGAACCTGCTGGCGCCCGAGGAGGAGGGCGACCCGCAGCTCTTCGTGGCGCTCTACGAGTTTCGAGCCCAGGGCGAGAACCAGCTCACTCTCAGGAAGGGTAAGTACCCGACACGACTCTTCACAGGGAGCGCTCGGGGCGCGGGGGGGGGGGGGCACGCTCTAAGGGAGGGTAAGAGCTATATTGAGGGCGGGTTGAGTCATCGCAGGCTGTAATGCTCTGCTTATTAGAGGCATTCGCGTTTAATCATGGCAAGGGTGGCATCGCAGCGGCGGTAAAGAAGGAATTGAAAGGAGATGCACTGCAGTTGCAGGGAGAAAACAATGGCGGCGCATACGCGGAAGTGGCGGGGCGAGATGGACAGGCGGGGGGAAGGGGAAGGGGAAGGGGAAGGGGAAGGGGAAGGGGAAGGGGAAGGGTTAGGGGGAGAGTAAGGAGAAGGGGGAAAAGGAGGGGGAAGAGAAGGGGAAGGGGAAGGGGAAGGGGGAAGATGAGGGGAAAAGGGAAAGGGAAGGGGTAGGGTTAGGGTTAGGGTAAGAAGGATGGGGAAGAGGGGGGGAAGGGGATGGGGAAGGGAAAGGGGGAAGAGGGAGGAGGATAGAGGATGGGAAGGGTTAAGGGGAGAGGGAAAGGGGCGAACACCTAGAGGAAACGTTCTCCACGCGGTCGGACGTCGGAAGTCGTGCCATGGCGGTGTCTGGGGGATGGGGGGGGAGTAGGGGGAGGGGGGAAAGGGGGAGGGAGAGAGAGAGGGGGGGGGAGGGGCTGCATGGGGCAAACTCCCTTTGGTAATTACAAGTCTGTCTGAAATAAGAGGGGAAACAAGGCTCTGCGCGGCGTTGGTCTCGCCATGTGCGCGGGAGGCAGTTATTAGTAAGGGAAACATTATAGGGCGGGATTAGTGATTAGGGGAGGGCTTTTTTCGAAGGGGGGGGGGAAGGGGAGGTGTTTTTAGGGGGTGGGGGGTTCTTGTTTTTAAAGGGGGGGAGGTTGGAAGTCCTTTTTTTTTTCTTTTTTTTAAGAAGTGGTTAGGGGAGGATTTATCAGGGACTAGCAGGTTTTGTTTTTTAAAGGGGGAGGGGGATTTTTTTTTTTTTTTTTTTTTTTTTTAGGGGGGAAGGGGTAGGAGTCCTTTTGTAGGAGGGAAATCCTTCTTTAATTGGGGGGGGGGGGTCCTGTCTTTTTTAGATATGGAAGGAGTCCTTTTTCGGGACCGATTTGGAAGGGGGGGAAGTCCTTTCTTGAATTTTTTAGGGCTGGATTTTTTTTGTGGTCTTTTTAGGGGAGTCCTGTTTTAGGGGATGGGTCTGCTCGAAGGGTGATGGAGTCCTTTTCCTAAATAGGAGGCACAGGGCACGGGGGAGTCCTTTTTAGGGTGGAGTAAGAGTCCCGTTAGAGCAAGGAAAGGAACGAGAGTCCTCTCTTAAAGAAGGATGGGAGTAAGGGGGGTGGGGGGTCTCCGGAAGGCGCAGGCGACGGCGCGAGACGCTAATAACATGACATGTCCGCCGGACGCAGCTCGTGTCGCGTGCTTTAACCTACATTAAATGATTGTAGAAAGTGTGTCAACTGGCAGGATGGACACGGCCGCGGTAGAGCACGTGGAGTGGGCGTGGGCGTGCGCGGGAGGAAAGCGTGGGTGGTGGGCGGTGAGAAGGCAGCGTGAGTCTGAGAGGAAGTGGGCGTGGGCTAGAGGAAGACGTAGGTGGAGGTAGGAGAAGAGCGTGGGCGGGAGGAGGGAGGAGGGTGGAAGAGCGTGGGCGGGAGTATAGGAAGGTGTGGGCGTGTCGAGGCTGCTTTTGTTGTTAATCTCTTTGTTAGCTCCAAAGCCTTCCCGTAAAACACAACAGCAACGTGAGACTGATAAACACCTCGTATAACGGCATTAAATCAGATACATGACATTAACACAGCGGTACCTACCCTCTTGAGATAGCGGCTGTTGTCATTCTGAATTGATAAGGTTCTTAATAATGGTGATAAGAGTTTGATGCGAGGGAAAAAGATGATGGCTATTTTAAGAGATATTGATTGTGTTGGATTACTAAAATAAAACTCGGAAGGAATGAAGGTGGTGTTGCCAGACGAGAGTCGACAAAGGTGTGGGAACGTAGCGGGCAGGTAGATAGGTAGGCAGGCAAACAGGGAGGTAGCTGGTAGATAGGCAGGGAGGCAGGCAAGCAGACAGGCAAGCAGGTAGGCAAGTAAGAGAGCAGACAAGCAGGCCAGGAGGAAAGAGACAAGCAGGCAAGGAGGAAAGCAGACAAGCAGACCAGGAGGAAGGAGGCAAGCAGGCACGCATGGAGGCATACTGGGACACAAACTGACACACAAGTCGGGCAGGCAGGGAGACAGGGAAGAAGGCAAGCAGACAGACGTGTGGATTGGACAATCATACCATTATCCTTTCAAGAATACCAGCACGGCAACCTCGAGAGAAAGAGAAGGAGAGGGAGAGGCAGGGAGAGGGAGAGGGAGGAGGGAGGGAGAGGGAGAGGGAGAGGGAGAGGGAGAGGTAGAGAACACGGGAGAATCACCTTTATCATCTTGAACCCCTCTGCCAAGCCTGGTGTACTGTGTTAGGCCAGAGCAATGACCCTCTGTCTGTCTATCTATCTATCTATCTATCTATCTATCTATCTGTCTGTCTGTCGTTGGGCCACCGAAAATGGAGTCAGATTAAAGTAAAGATAAAAGTAAGTAAAAGCAAAAATCACTTCAAGATTGATTTTTTCTTTCTTTATTTGTTGATTATGTTCTTCGTGTAAATAAGTTTCCTGATTTTATTTTAGACGTTTCGATTTTCTTTAGTTCGTGTAATTCGTTGCTTATTAACTAACTGATCGCATAAATAATTCATTAATGGAGTATCAACATGTTTATTGTTATTATTATTTTTTTCGTAAGACGCGCGCTTTTTTAAAAATTTTAAACACAAACCTCAAAACGCAAAAAGTCTGCAGTGCAGGTGAAGACTGACAGTTGCATCAATAGGGTGAGAGGGCAGGGGAGAGGAGGAGGGGGGTGGGGGGTGGGGGCGTGGCACCTTATCCTCATCACACCTTGGGAGGGAGGGTGGGGAGGGGGGAGGGGAAGGGAGGGGAAGGGAGGGATGGCAGGGGAGAAAGAGTGGGTGGATGGTTAAATGGGTGGATATATGTATGTATGTATGTATGTATGTATGTATATGTGTATGTATGTATGTATATGTGTATGTGTGTATATATGTGTATTTATATTATATATAACTATCTATCTATCTGTATATCTATATATATGCATATGATATAATGTATGTGTGCAATATATAACAGCCAAGAATGTTACGTCATGGCAAAATGTTTTATAACTGCCATGGGAGGAGCGATAAAACTGGGGCTTTGATGAAAACACTTCGGAGAGCGGGAAAGATAACACGTGTATAGGACAGAAAAACAAGAATCAGATAAGAAAAATAGGTACCAGGAAAAAAAAGAAAAAAAAATATGGCATGAACCATGTGGCGTTCAGACAGGCAGACAGACAGACAGACAGACGGACAGACAGTAAAGTAGACAGGCAGACAGACAGGCAGGCAGGCAGGCAGACAGACAGACAGACAGGCAGGCAGGCAGGCAGACAGGAAAATAGGCTGGCGGGCAGGCAGGCAGGCAGATAGGCAGACAGACAGGCAGACAAGCAGACAGACAGAC